ATAAGCCATTTCAATAATCATTTTAATAATATTCAATAAGCCGCAAGTACATGTAGACGGATTATTTTTTTCTGCATAGAAAATGATTGGAACTATACTGTTATAACCCACGCACATTACATTTTCGTATATTTTCAGATAAAAAATAAAATGTATATTTCTCCATACAAAAGATATAATATTTTTTTTCTCCGAAACTATCAACTTTTCAAGAAATTATACGAGAATAAAATTTGTTAGAAATGTTATTATCTATCACATAAAAAAAATAGCTCGGTACTCCACAAGTTAGTCCTATGTAGCATTGTAAGTCAATGTATGTAGCTGATTTTTTTTCTTATGATAAATAATAACATTCCTGATAACTTTGTGGTTTATTTGCAATATAGGTCCAATCATTCTCTATCAAGAAAAAATGTGCGGCGGCGTGGCAATATCATTCGTTATTAAAGAATGGACCAATAATTAGTTGCATTAGTGGAATTATAATATAACTAAGTACACATATACCTACTTTAGATATATGTAATTTTATTTTAGTCCGATAAGGTAGGTAGTCGATAACAGTCGGACGGTCGGCTTGTTAACTTTATTATATTTACTTTGTAAACAGGATGTCTAAAAGATTGACCAAACACAAGTTTAATAATTACTAATAGAGTAATTGATATTTAGTCGATTATTGGCAACTCTTCAAATGTTATGCGGTTATAAAATTTTAAAAGATTTTTAATGAGGTAAAGGTTCGCTATGCTTGCGGAATGCTCATTGTAATACTAATACTCTGTATCTTAATCGAAACTTGAAGCCGTTGAACCGACGCGATTACATTAACGGTGCTATAGTTGCGTACGTGCATCGTGAGTACTTATAGAGCACATTTCTCGTCTGGAACAATAAATGGTAACCGTTCTGGTGTATTGTAGTTCACAGCAGGGTTGTTGCTGATGCAGGTTTTACACATCAACGAATGCTGATTTTTTTATCTTAACATCAGCGGATGCTGATTGTATGTTTTAAAAAAACGCGAAACATGTACATCCTTACTGAATCTATCTACATCAAAAAGCTTTCTATTTTCTTTGGTATAGTATTATAATATTATAGCAATAATTTTATGCCATTTATTAACAAAAGAATCATTCTTCATTCTGCATGAAAACAATCTGCTGAGCTTAATCGTTGTGGAATTTTATCAAAGTTACATTTTAATACCTTGTTGAGCTGCTTTTTCCGCTTACAGTCTGTTTCTGGAAGGTTTAAATTAGGAAAAAATTTGCTCGATTCTCCACAAGTTATTCCTATGTCCAAGAATTATCAATTTGGGCCCACTGTGCTCTGGCGCGCGTGACCACTGTGAACACAAAGAGCTTCAACGTACACACATCAAAAAAAGTTTGCGATCACTTCGAAAAACTGAAATCTTTTTTGTTACTGTAAATTATATTATGATTTTTTCTTCTTTTTAGATTCTTTATTTAAAAATAAATTAGAACATAAAACAATGACCCCGTTCAATTGTTTTTTCATATAAAAAGGCTTTCAGTCCTAGCTTACGCTCATTCAGAAATCTGATTTAGTCAATTATAAGCGATTCAAGATATTTTTCGCGGAAAGTTGTGATTGAAAAAATGCCAAGAGGATTATCAGAGGTTTTACGAGCTAGAATAGTAACTTTGAGGGAAGAAGGATACACCACGAGAGTAATAGCACGCAGACTTGCTATATCCCAATCCTGTGTCGTGGCTACGTTGCAGAGGTATCACGGAATGGGGAATTTAGCTGACCGACCCCGCAGCGGTCGCCCAACTGTTTTGACAGCTGCCCAAAAGCGCTATATTAGATTGCTGGCAGCCCGTGATCCAACAATCAACGCCACTAAAATAAAAGCAGAAGTCAGGGCCGCCTCTGGGCTTGAAGTTAGCACGCAGACCGTTCGCAATTGCTTGCACCAGGCTGGATTACGAGCACGGAGGTCTTGGCGAGCTCCGCTCAAGTCCCGGCAACGTCAACAACGAAGATTGCAGTGGGCTAGACTTCGGCAAAATGAAGAAGGTGAGGACGAAAACATTTGGCAAAACTGTCTCTTCGTTGACGAATCCCGAATCAGCACTCATCCAGATAACTGACGTGTCCGTGTCTGGAGAAGACCAGGCGACCGTGAAAGACAAAGAACTGCCACTGGAACAGTTCAGCAAGGCGGAAAATCGGTGTCCTTTTGGGGTGGCATTATGATTGGAGCTAGAACGCCTTTCGATCCCGTATCGGGGCTTCATGACAGCAGACATGTACAAAGCAGTTGCTATTGATGATATCGTCAGACCATTCCGAGTAAACCATGGGCACCAATTTGTACTGGTCGATGATAATGTGCCCGCACATCGAGCTCAACGAGTCAATGCTGCTCTTCAAGAATACGATATCACACGATTAGACTGGCCTGCCGGCTCGCCCGACTTAAACCCAATAGAGCACGCGTGGGATGCTCTTAAACGAGCAGTATAGAACCGTGAGCCACGTCCCCAGACAGTTCCAGAGCTCAGGGAAGTCGCTATTGAAGAATGGGATAGGTTACCCCAGGAAATGCTGGATAGCTTGATCCTCAGCATGCCCAGGAGGATCTTCGCATGTATTCGAGCCAGGGGAGGAGTTATTTTATATTGAATTCACACCTTTTAATAATAAATTGTTGTTTAAGTTTAATTAAACAGTCTTTTTCTTTCTATGAAATTTCTATCACTATTACATTATGATTAATGGCTCAATTTTTTAAAATAAATAATAAAAAATAGTTTCATATTTTAATTTCAAACAGGGTATTCCTATTTAAAGAAAGCATACAACATAGATTTTTTCTTGATAAAGTTAAATTTAAAGAATTATAGGAGCTTATGCTATTGATCGCAAACTTTTTTTGATGTGTGTACATTTATTGATTTGCACGCTCCCGCGCCCGCCGCGCCGCCACTCTGAATAAGGTCTTGTAGGTGCAATATTTTCTTCTTTGATGGGATTAATTTTCTTAAATGGGACCCAACACTGAGGTGCCCTCTTATCAACAAAAAAAGAACCATCAAAATCGGTTCATAAATGCCGTAGTAATCGCGTGACAAAAATACAGTCGAATTGAGAACCTCCTCCTTTTTTCAAGTCGGTTAATAACGTGTCTTACTTTCCGTTTTTACTCAGTTGTCAACTGAACACCATACTAGCATAATGACAAATTTTGTGACGTCGTCACCCTATCCAAACTGATAATTTTTTATAATCCCAAATACGACAGTATTTACGTACTTATTCTGGGTAAATTGTATCTACAGTTACAGAATTGTATTATTTTCGTCGATTTGTCATCCATGAAATGTTTTATCACTAATCAATGGCCCGTGCGACGATTATACGTAGTATTAGGTTGATGACGACTTAACTATTATTAATAGTTTATTCCTGCAATTGTCAAATGTCAATTAACTATAGTACCTATACTTACAACTACACTGACTCAGAATTAAATGAGATAGTTAACAGAATATAATTTATTATTAATATATAATTGGTGGACCAAATCAATTGAATTTTGAGGCAAATGAATAAGTGTATAAAATTGAATTTAACATCTAAATAATAAAATTTGTCAACTGCGCGGGTTTCTCATGTTCCTATGTATAATGTAAAAGGATAATCCGTATTACAAATAAACGTAATTCTCACCTACATCGTGAAGTCGATTAAGAAAATTAAGTTTAATTAATTACGAAAATCAGAATATTTCTCTATCCGGAACTCTGTTCCGACAAAACTGTTTATCGGCTCCAATCTGAGAGGTGTTTGTAGTCATCTACTTCATAAAACCTGTTATGAGAATCCTTGGACTTAGTAACGAAGGCAAGCGCCTTCTTATTATATTATTTATATTTGTCACTAATATTTAAACTTTGTTGAGAGTTCAGGTTGTAGTAAATTACCTACATTTTTTTTTTAAGTTTTTCTTTATACCAACAGCGTATGTAGGTATTACAAATATTAAGTAATTTAAGTAAGTTAGTCAAGTACATAATTGTCACACACAAGCCAATTATATGTGAACACAACACGGAAGAATTTATATGATCTGTCGAACACAACATTTAGTGACATTACAAAATATGCCTAGGTATCCCTTGAATAACCGGTTACCTATTTTTTCTTGGGTATTTTGTGAGTTGCTCATTTCAGGTAAGGTGTTGGTCTAGTTTTGTTAGAAAATAAAAACGCTTTTTTAGTAAAAACAAATTTTAATCTTCTTTACATTTTTGGAAATTTTAAAACTCCTTGCATGTACCGTACCTCGATCACCCAATTGTTTTTCTATCTTAAAAGTGGCAAATTGTGTTTGTAACTTTAATAAACTAGAACTAAGCTAAGTATTAAGAAGTGATTTTGGCAGGGACTTCAAAACATGCCAGTTCTTTGTTTCCTGCTTTGAGAGCCCAGTGTACTTTAACGCTTATTGATGGGTAAATAGCTAGGATTGGGAAGGAATCTTTGTACACATACTTAGTGTCTGCCTTCAGCGGGCAACCGGTCTTTTCGCCGCTCTCTGTTTCCAGCTTGTCGCAAATGGTGGAACCGTCGACGCCAATGAATGGAAGCGGCACCCCAAACACATCAGCAACAACATTATTGTTAACTTCCTTGACATTTTCATCTGCGAAATAAACAAGATTTTTAACTTTCGTAATTATTTTTATTTCCACGAACCTAAATATTGAAGCGGCGAATTTCTGGTTTTAAAGTTTAGCAGTTCTCATATGATAACGTCCGTCACTGTCTTACATCATGACTTTAGAACGTGTGAAGTCGCTCACAGCATCACACAAGGCTATCGCATTGATCAAAGAGTATATACGTGCATTGACGCGAGACTCTGCATAGAGACAGATGTAGATATGTGATGTCGTTAACGATTACTTATAAATCAACGTGATGCTTAAAGAAAGACTAATGTAACGACTGATAGTCCATTTAGAAAAAAAAGGGTCTATGTTTTGATATTTAATTTTCTTCAAAGTGGCTCTATGTGAGTTGAGCACGTGTTGAATAAATCCGTATTAAAGTTTTCTGTACCCATTTCTACAAAAAAAAATTCAATTTCAAAACACGAAAATGCGCGCTCATGTGAAGGGCAGTACGGAAAACCTATGATCTCAACGCGCGTTGACAAGTGCCCGATGTTAGCGCGGCGGGCGTTGAGCGCGCGTTGGCCGCTCTCATTTGAATACCTACAGCGATTTACGTACAAAATTCGGTAAGTTGTAAGCGCGCGTAAGCGAAACGCCCGTTAGACGCTCGTTATGTGAACATGCTCGTAAAACTAGCTAAACAGAAAAACAGAAACAAACGCACCATAGGCAAAAACAACATAAACAATGAGTAATTGAAAAATAGAAAATAACTAAAAAGATTTATATCTACCCCGTCCAGTAGCTGGTCCTTCAAACTTCCAACATCTCCTTAGTTGCTTTTGAAATATAGAGTGCCTCTAGAAATATTTCGCAATCACTTAGAGCCACTTTGAAGAAAATTAAATATGAATCATAAACCCTTGAGGAAGTCAAATATTTACAAACTTTCGTTAAAAGAAATATTCGTCGTTGAAATTTCAATTGCATTTATTTCAAAGATATTTTTTGTGTAATAATTGTTATGGAGAAGTTATTTATGTGTGACATTTTTAATAAAAAAGGTAAGGTAAGGACTAATTTCGTTCGTAGACTCTCTCTTCAAACCTCTATCCTGAAGAGTTGACATGATGCAGATGTGACCTTATTGCACCAATAAGGGTGTGAAATTGATATGGACACCCTGCGGGCCTTTTCATGTGGACGTTTTAGTGCGAGTTAGCAAAAGTAAGTGGCACTATGTAAAAATGTTGAAAAGTAAGCGTCTCACAAAACATTTACACGACAGAATGCTATTGGAATCAGACGAACCCAAGTACTTTTAATTTAGAATAAATTAAGAATATCTTCTCACAGCTTCGCACATTTATTTTCACTCCATATGTAGTGTTATAAAACTGGCGACCCTCATTTTTAAAAAAATTCATTTATAAAAGACAACGTATATTTACAATTAAACCTATAATGACTATTATTATTTATTATAGTATTATACCTCTACTTAATAATAATTTTGAGAATCGCTGTTAATAATCAACGCACACAATAATAATAATGCACACATTGAACGTAGCCCTGCACTAGGAAAGCGCTGTGTCGCGGGTGCCACGGACACACACATAGACAACCACAAATTACACCCAGCCTCTCGAGAGAAATAAATGTAGGCCATACATTTATTTTTATTACGGCCCGGGAATTGAACCTGGGACCTCTGCGTGGCAGTCCGACATGGTAACCGTTCGGCCACAGAGACAGTAATTATAGGTACTTTTGTTACTAAAATGCATATCAAATAATAATGGAGAAACCTTCACATTTTAAGTTTCGTTATAAATATTTTCTGTAAACTCTCTTTTTTTAATAATTACTAGGTCAGTAGTTATGTATGTAGTTATAAGTAGGTAGTTACTTTGTCATAAAAACAAAATTTTTTATTAACACTCTTTTGGAATGTGCGTATTAATTTTTTTTTAAATTTATTTATTTGTAACCCTCTTTAGTAGGTATATCTATGATGCCATATACTGGGAATGTGCGTATACTTACCAGGAGTAAATTTGACAGTGATGTTTACTCTGTGTTCCTTCCTTAGTTTACAAGGAGTGCCTTTGCAGGAAAGCTGTATATTGTTGGCTAGGTCCGGGAACGATCTACCTGTGAATATAAATAAATATTAAACAACATCACATACGTTGTGCAGCAGGTCGATTCAGAACCTTACGATAACTCAGTTGTCGACCGATTCGATTTGATATCGTACGATTTCTTTTCATTTTTATCCACAACACCCGAATCGAACGTCAAACTGCAGTATTAGAAACCGAACCGAAATGTACGATTACTCGAACTTCTCGACCGGCAAAGGCTACAAACATTATTCAGAACAGTTATCGAATGAAAGTTACCGAACGTCATATTGTTTACGAAGATAGAATGTAACATGGAAATCTCTTATTATTTTAAATAAACCCTGGATTTTGCTAAAGCATACCTAAATTTTATTAATGTATTTTAATGCGAGGCTAAAATATTCCCATATTTTAGGCTTTTGAAGTCTTAAAGCCGTATATAAAAGGACTTTCATTTTTCTTATAATCTATTTCACCGACTAACTCCGTAAATGCTGTTGGATAACGATATCGTGGGGTCTACTCTCGATCTCCGTCCGACATCCGTCCAAAACAATTACTGCCAAATGCGCAATACTTGACCAAATGAAAAGACACGTGATGCGAATGAAGTTTCATACTTGATACTTGTCTTTTAATTTTGTCGAATATTACTTATTTGACAGTAATTGTTTCGGACGGAGATCGAGAGTAGACCCCCGTATCCGAATCCGAATCGAACGTTTAACTCGGAATGTTCTGAATAGTTCGGCTGGTCCTAAAGTGAGTAACTAAAACACTTGTGGAATGGAAATCTGAAACAACGATGATACTAAAAGAAAGAAAGAAAGAAAGAAAATACATTTATTTGTTTACCACAATGACACCACAAAAGACAAAAGACAAAAAAAGAGAGAAAACAGAACAAAACAGAACTAAAACAAAACACGATCAAAACATTCAACGTAAAACAAATATATAATTACGAAACAAAAACACAAACAAACACAAAATAAAAATGTATATACAAAAATTAGATAAAATTAAAACATGAACTATTCACACAAATAATAAAAAGAAGACTAAATATTGAGATACCCTGTACTACAAACACCCGCACACAAAACAATATAAAAGTTAAGTTTTTTTTAATTGACCCGCGGAGATCGAGTTCGAGGGAAAGGAACCTCAGAGATGGCGACACCATGACAATCGGTGTGCAAGCCACTCGATCACGCAGGTCGTCAAGAAATAAAATACAAGTTAAATAGCACTCATAAAAAAGTTCTAAATTATTACTAAAAATAATCTATGGTCATAAAAACAGTTGTCCTATTTTATACCTACATGAACCAAAGTCGTTAAAAAAAACAAAAACAAAGATCTGCAGCAAGCTTATAGAGAAATTCGTATGGTCCGCTGGTTCGTCCAGTGGCGTAGTTGGCATAACGTCTGGAACGGTTTGCTAGAAGACGTTGGTTCGAATCCAGTCGGATCGAAGGAATTTTTCCTAAGTGTTCGATCTTTGTATTAATAATTACAACAAACTAGTAGAGTAAAATGACAGACAAATAATTGAACATCATGGTGGTGAATCATCCTGACATGCAGTGATCTTTTTTTTACTCCTTATTTATTTAGGGCCTTTGATTTCTATTGTACATGTCAGCCTCATTAGAAAAACAATACCTCAAGAAAACACTTAATAAAATCCAGTCAGGGGGTCGATTCAGAACCTTATGATAACTCAGTTGTCGACGGATTTCTTTTCATTTTTATTCACAACACCCGAATCGAACGCCGAAATGTCGTATACGAAACCGAACCGAAATAACGTCACACCCGTACGATTACTCGAACTTCTCGACCGTGAAATTTCACAAAGTTTTAAAAATGTATATAAAAGGATTTTCATTTTTCTTATAATCTATTTCACCGACTAACTCTGTAAACGCGGTTGGATAACGAATCCTATCGTATCGATATCGTATCCGAATCCGAATCGAACGTTCGACTCGGAATGTTCTGAATAGCTCGGAAAGCGCCCTTCGTTTCGAGAACGAAATCCAATCGAACGATTCGGTTAAAATGTCGAGTAATCAAAATACTACCTAACCAAACATGTATACAAAATCTCCGCGGCATTTTTAATTACAAATTTTTTATGCATAAAAATACAAGAGTTATAAACATTTTTGTTTTATGCAGGTAGTTCGTGTTATTTTTGCTGTCATGTGATTAATTATATTAAGCGTACGAATTCATTTTGAAGACCTTAAATTAACTCTGTCAGTTACTATGTTTCTTAGCAACACTATACAACTTAGCAGATGACAATATCGGTTTAAAAAAATTCATCATATCAACGGTATTGTGGAATTTTCAAATTTAATTTTACGAATGTCAAAAAGGAGTAAGTAATACAAAGTAGTTAGTAACAGTAGAGATCCTCGTGAAAGAGTTCGTCCAGGGAAATACTGCCATACTTATTTTAGCCAACAAGTAATGCCATCATTAGTACGTTCTGGTTTTGAAGAGTAAGGCTGTTAATGAAACTACAGGCGTATGGGATTTGTCAACTTTTATGCAACTGTTATGGATAGGCGTGTCGTTTACTACCAGACGTACTTACGACTTGTTCGTCCCGCCACTTGGTGTGGTTCTTTCAGCGGGGCGTTCAAGGTTTGCGCATACATTGCGCGCAAACGTGTGTTTTGTGTGGGATACATCCAACACAAGACACAATGTACGCGCTAACCATGAACGCCCACCGTTCCGAATTTGCGGCCTCACCTATTTCTGCTGCCAAGCAGTAATGTGAGTATTACTACGTTTCGGTTATAAACGGTAAGGGTGCTGGTGAAATTACTCGCACATGGGACTTATCAACTTATGTCTCGGAGTGACTCTGAGTGGCACTGCGTAATGTTATGGACACGCGTGTCACTTACCATCAGGCGCACGACTTATTCGTCACATCACTTGAAATCATAAAAAAGAGAATTTTAAAGATTTTACGAACGAAATTAGTCGATAAACTTTTTATGCATAAATAGAGTTATACAATTTCACATTTATATGTATAATTTATTTCATGAAGTTCGTTTTATTTTTGCACTTTTGCCGTAGGTATGATCACTTGAGGTTTTATTGTACCAACGGTACTACGATTTGCCTGTAATAAACATACTCTGATCAAAATAAAGAAACACATCTAATACAACAAGTGCGACAGAAAAAGTAAGAGAGTACCTAAAGTAAAAATTCAGTATTTAATTATATAGTATATATAAGTACTGATCTGTTTTGACCGCTTCTAACAAATTTGTGGTAAGCTCACGTGATGTTTTGTTAGTAGTCCATTTTAGCACGTATAATTACCTATACAACGTAACGGTTTATTCCATTACCATTTTATTATATTAATGGGTATTATATTTTAAGAAAACTTGTTTGTCAAGATGGTAATTGTAACGAGTTCTTGGGTTTGAAATGCAACTATTATTTCGTGTCAATAATATAATCGTATTTTTATTTTCCAAACGAACCAAGGAACGTTTCGGGCTCTTTGCAGGCCTCACGGTCAGCCGGTCAGCTAAAACAAAAAACAAATAATGGTTCCTACGCGATTCTAAATAGGTAAAATAAAGGTATTTTTATGCAAAATTATCTACTAGTTATAACATGTTTTTTATTCGTTTATAAAACATCGCTATGTTATTTTTGCTAACTTCATTGTTTACTACACGAGAATACTATGCTATGCCCGCTATTTGTTGGTAGGTCAATGCCTAAGTGATTGTCGGCAATTTATTCTTTGTTACAGTTTCATAACGTATCCGAATTTTTTATTTAAACCCGAGTACACTCGAACAAAGAGCTAAGTACGTACATAGGATGTAAATACACAGGATGAATCATGGAAACGCTGCTTGAAATAAATCAATGCAATTACGCGATTTGAATAACAATAAACGACACTTGAATGGTTTACATTATAATATAAAATGACACTTTACTGCTTCCGATTATCTTTTGACATTTAAAGTTCTAAGAAAAACTTGAATAGACACGATATCTAACTTCATTACCTATTCATTTATTCACTAAACTCATGTCATGACAATGTTTTTTGTTTCCTAAAGTGTTCGGTTGTCTTGGAGGGACAAAGGTTTTTGGTATGAACTGAAGTTCGGAAAGTCGGCCACAAGTGCACCTACTGATTCGCATGAAACTGAGGCATGTGTGTTCTCCGGTCCACTTAGCCAAGTTTAAAATTACAGACAGTGATCTTTGCGACAGTGAAGTTTGACACTTAGTATTTAAATTCAAGTCTACACCGCTTGTCATAAGAACGGTCCAAATCTTGATATGTTCCATGGTACGTCGATTAGTAAGAATTAGTTAATTTTGTTAGGTACAGTACTGGAAATTGATAAAGCTGCAAGTTGTCCTTTGCACTAGTATAATATACAAGATATTGAATAGTAGATAGTCCATAAACTCTTCGCGAGGTTCTTTTTACCTTTTTCATTTTTTAATGCGTTAAACAACCGTTATAAGTAGATTTTTTTATTACTTTTGTATATGAAGACCTCACAAATGAAAATTATTATTATTATTATTATTAAAGCTAAGCTTGGCACATATTTATGTTCCTAGGGTTAACCCACAGAACAATAAATACAGGGTCAACTTCTGATACCGGTGGAAAGAGGGCTTGGCGGATCCCCCCTATGGCGCTCGTACCATAGAGGCGATCCGGCCTGTCCTCGTAGATCAAGAATCAAGTGACAGGACGTACAAGTCTGACGCGCCTGATGGTAGCCTACACGCCTGTCCATAACAGTTGCAGTGCCACTCAGAGCTTTAAATCGCAAAGATCTGAGGGGCACTGCCTTTGCGCCAGTCACACTGAGACATAAGATGACAAGTCACACGTGCCTGTAATTTCACCTGCACCCTTACCTACCCTTCAAAACCGGAACACAGCAATGCTGACACTACTGCTTGGTGACAGAAATATGTAACTACTACCCTGGACGA